CTTCAGGGAGAGAGGGGAAGCTTTTGGCGAAAAATAAAGCAATATTATATGCATAAATTGGATCTTTACGAGTAAAAGAAAAAAAAAAAAGCCATACAGTAGTAAAGCTTTCTCAGTTCGGCGACTGACGTATTGGCTGCTTCTGAACAGTACAGCTGCGCCCAGGATATCTAAAAATTCTACGCAAAATCATCTGCCAAACAGACGAACTCAATATTTTTGCAGCAACTACAGCGCTTTCCTGCGCAACTTTAGAGTCCAAATTCCATCGCATTTGTGGCATGCTCATGCATCACGTTTTGTGGGATTTCTGCCATGAGTAACATCGTTTACTAAATCATGCATTTGAAGTATTTCACTGTCAATAAAAAAAAAAAAAAATCCTTCTGCCGTTCTTTTTTTATTTTTTTCCACAAGAGGTATGTGATAGGTAAAGGCACTCAGAGAACAAAAGTTTTTTAGCTTCATGTTTTTACCAATTCTTATTCTCATGTGCTCGTTCATAAGGATAATTTCTGTACATGATCCGACAAGACATTCTTCGATAATTTGGATATGCACCAGTGCAGCCTTTGGTCTAATCCAGTTTACAACACAACATATCGTTTTCAGCCGAAAACCTTCGCAAAATCAACATTTAGCAAGTATAAAAGGATTTTTGCATCTTCTACACCGTTCCATCAACTACACCGAAGCAATTTACATTGCTCCCACTACTTGAAATGACAAAAAGTACCTCGAGATCTCCGTTTCGAAGGCCAACTGAGTAGGACCGGGATGCACGTGCAATAACCGTTACCATACCCAAATTGCACTCCACCACTTTACTGATACCACTAAGTGCACTGTAATCCGATAAAATAGCCTTTCCATGGTTGGACAGCAGCATGTTGAGCATTAGATTCAAACGCCACATCGTATGCTCTAGATTGCCGCAGGCTTCCTACAAATGGTAACACACTACTTGGGATGAATCCGAAACCCTCACAAGCAATGCCAACCTATTAGCTGAGGGCGGTAAATGATTTTAAGAAACGAAACTGATACAGGAAACACATAGGGGGATCCAGAGAAGAGGCGATGAGCCTTTCATCCCCCTCCCCCCTAGCGCCATAGGTAGCAGTGCTAAAACTAATGAAAACTCTGTTCCGCATCCCGTGGCGTCCTCCCC